ACTGGTCTTCACGCCTTCTCTAGAACTGATCTAGACTCACCACAAATCCATCTGAGTGAGTCAGAGCAGCACTTATCCTCCCCCAGACTCACAGAAGCCATTCAAGCTCCGTAATCCCGGTGTCTTTAGCTCCACGCCGCCTGTTTGCTACCAGCGCTGGAGCATGTGGTCTCTCCTAATCCCAAACCAGACGAGGAATTTGTGGCAACGTGAAGAAACTGTTTTAAAATTTTGATTTTTGGCCTAAAAACAATAGAACCTCTGGCCGTACGGTCGCCACGCATTATTCCAGCCGTGAAAAAGTCAAGATTTTTTTGGCCTTCTTCTTTGTTTTTGCTTGTGTCGCGCATTCATTGTGGTTATTGCAAATGTAGATATAGGAATAGGGATACGTTTTTTGAGACTGGAGCCACCGAGAGACCTCCGACGGCAAAGCGTTGCAGCAGGCTGGAAGAAAACTCTTTGTGGTGGAGAATATTTTGGTTACAATACATGCAGTGTTTACTTGGAACTGGACATAGAGTCAGGTCCATAATTATTGAGACATTGACATCTCTCTGTCTCTATGCTCCACCACCAGGGATTTGAAACAACACAAATACTGGTGCAGAGTTACAGCTTTAATTTGAGGATATTTACATTGAAATCAGGTGAAGGCTGGAGGAATTACAGCAGTTTATATGCTTGCCTTTCACTTTTTGACAAGCCAAAAGTAATTGGGCGTAGAGCAGAAGCTTGACCATCTAATGCCACAGGGTCTGGTTTGTTCACGAGGCATTTTTCTTTAATTTTGTCTTCAGCGAAAGTGTAAAACTGATTGATCGGAAACAAATTATGAGAATGCTTTCTCTATAGCATAATTCTGTACCAGGGGTGTCCAAACATTTTACTAAAAGGGTCACTTTAAGATTGATATTAAGAGATTCTTTATTTGTCCCACAGTGGGGAAATTTTATAGAAGTAAACTACTTTTACAGAGGCTGATGACCTGATGTGTAAAACTCGATTTCAGGCTAAATGCTAACTGCTGCAAGTAGGCTGTGTGTTGCTATGGTAACTAGCACCTGCTCACCTCTATTAGAAAACCAGACCCAGAAACAGAACCGGTCCAGAACTAGCACATCGGAGAAAAGGGGCTTTAGTGGTCTTTGAATTTAACTGTCAAAGGGACTGCTTTCAGAGTTAAAGGGCTCTATCTATACATCCATCTTTTTACCCTTTGTCCATTTCTAGGTTGGGGCATTGACAATCAGCTGCCACCCAGTTCACAGAGCACCGGCCCCTCACTGATCCTCCTGCAGGTGGTGAGTCCACAGAAGGATGGCTGCTCTGTCGGTGAGAGCATATGCCTTGATCTTTCAGAGGGGCTTCAGGCAAAGTGGGGTAAAGTGTCAGGCCCAAGGACACAACGACAGCAGGCATCAGTGGGAGTCGATGGAGAAGGTCTCGAATCCACGGCATTCAGGCTCAAAGGCAAATGCTCTACCAACTGAGCCACTGTCACCCCACAAAAGAGCACTTTCGAAAATAAAATATAGTTTCATGATGGAACAATGACACAGAAAAACTACACATAGAAACAGAAAAAGTCACAACGTTATGAAGACCACAAATGTTCTGTGTTGTGTGTGATGTGCTTGACTTATAAGCACGAGTCTGTGATGAAGTTTGATGATGATGATGATGATGATGATGATGATGATGATGATGATGATGATGATGATGATGATGAAGCAATCGCAAACCACAGATCTCCTCTAATGAAATGAATTAGGAAAACCAAGCCAATCTGTTCAGTTCAATTCAATGCATTTTTGTAAAGGCCTCAATCACAGACCAGTGAGAGACTCAACAGAGACCAGAGAGAAAGGACGAGAGAGACCACAGAAAGAGAGACAGACCAGAGCAGAGAGAGATACCCGAAAGAGAGACCAAGAGAGAGACCAGAGCAGAGAGAGATACCCGAAAGAGAGACCCGAGAGAGAGACCAAGAGAGACTGGAGAGAGACCAGATCACAAAAGCAGTTGTCTCGGTGGACTTTAGACAGTTGTCAATTTGCCAACACAGATCAGAAAATCAATCCGTTTAAAGACAAGAAAAGTATTGATGAAAAAACACATAGAGCCATTGGTCCATAAGAGGCAGATGACCATTGTCAAGAAAGGTTGTCTGGACTGGGTGTGTGTCTGTGTGTGTGCGTGTGCGTGCGTGTGTGCGTGTGTGTGTGTGTGCGTGCGTGCGTGCGTGCGTGCGTGTGCGTGCGTGTGTGTGTGTGTGTGTGTGCGACCTGCCTTTCTGATAGCAGCAGGTGTGCTTCCTGTCTGCGCTGAGGTAACAGTCTTTATGTGAGTGTGATAAGAGCAGCACCCGTAGGCGCAGACAGCAGCACCCTTCGGTTACACGGCTCTTTTCTCTGAGCCCGGCTGCCGCTGCGGTTTCCTGGTCCTGGTCTGGGCTCCCTGATAACATCGAAGGGGGAGGGGGACGGGGGAGTGCGGTGGACTTCCTCTCCTCTGTTACCCTAACACCAGAGGAAGCAGCCAGTGTGACAGGTGCCATGGCAACATGTGTTTATGAGGTTCACAGGAGATGGATTCATCAATCAAAATGTGATGGAGTATTTACTCTTGCTTATTATGTTAATGTTATGTTATGTTGATAAAAAAATCTATCCATCTAGAGTAAACGTTGTTGAGGCAGTAGCAGAAGTAGTAACAGTAGTTGTAGTAGTTGTAGTCATACAAACAAAACCCCTCTAGCTCATTCGGGGAATCCTGAGGCGTTCCCAGGCCAGCTGAGAGACACAGTCCCTCCAGTGTGTCCTGGGTCTTCCCCTGGCTGGACAAGTCCACAACACCTCCCCAAGGAAGCATCCATGGAGGCATCCCAAACAGAGCCACCTCAACTGGCTCCTCTGCATGTGGATGAGCAGCAGCTCTACTCCGAGCTCCTCGTGTGACTAAGCTCCTCACTCTATGTCTAAGGGAGAGCCCCGCCACTCATCGAAGGAAACTCATGTGGACCGTTTGCATCCAAAATCTCGTCCTGTTTTGTCAATTTGTAGAAGAAGTCATTTGAACAAACTAGCTGGAGCCAATTTCCTTATATGGGAATTTGTTCCAACAGAGATGTTGCTATGGTGGTTGCTAAGGCAAGCTACAGTTTCTCCAGCAATTGAAGGCCTCTGGTTGGCCATCTGGATCAAAATGTAACCAGAATCACCGAGAGCACTGAACCATGGATGCATTACTCAAAGCACATCACCAGAGTTGAGGGCAGGAACATAGACTGAATCCAGAGCTCTGACTATAGACGCTGCTCCTTCTTCACCACAACAGTCCAATACAGCGACTACATCACTGCACACACTGCACCGATCTGTCTCAGTCTCACGCTCCGACCTTCCCCTCTGAGAACAAGGGATTTGGGTGATTTCTTTTTATTTCTGCCAAGTCAAACATTCAGAGATAAATCATGTCTGAACTCAAAACTCTCAAATCAATAATCCAAACATGTGTTCCTCCTGGAGCCTTTATCACAGTTCGATCTCACTGATGTTTGCGTCAGCTGTGGAGGAGGAAACGTTCAAATCCAGCAGTTGGTCCTTCCACGGTCTTATCAGAGCCAACTCCAGACTCTACCAACAGCAGGAGGTCCCAGGCTTTCGCTATTAAAGAGGGTTTCTTTTATTATTGACCTTTTTCATTTTAACAAATTAGTTTACTGTTAGGATTGAATCAAAACTGGACCAAATACAAAAGAAGACTGTATTTTCCGGACTATAAGCTGCTACTTTTTTCTACTTATTTGATCCCTGCGGCTTATATAGCGATGCGGCTAATATATTTATTTTTATTGTAGTAAAGTTGTCAGAGTTCTTGTCTCCATCAAGTTTTTCTCGCTATTGGACACTCAGTTATTGTCAAAACAGATGAATGTGAATGAGTCATGGGAGCTAACGGTTTGGCTTAAACACCTCGTCATTAAATCATTTTGTGTCCAGTTAAAACAGTCGTCTATCTGCTACATTAAACAGGAAAACCTGCAACTGATATTCAAGTTTGGCCTAAATAGTGATTTTCTTTTCAAATGTTGCTGATGCGACATATACAGTAGACTGGTGCAGGTCCTGAAAGTAAGGTAAAAATAACTGATATAAGTCAATAGGAGCCAGGATGAGTTAAAGCAAAAAGTACTTCCTATTGCATTATTATGATTATTATTCTTTTTCAGAACTTTTTTGAATTTTATGAACATTTTTTAATTATTATTGTTATTATCATTATTATTGTTATTATTATTATTATTATTATTATCAGTATTATAATTATTATTATTAGTATCATCATTGTTTTTATATTATTATTATTATTATTATTATTATTATTATTATTAGTATCATCATTGTTTTTATATTATTATTATTATTATCATTATTATTATTTATTATTATTATTATTATTATTATCAGTATTATTATTATTATTATTATTATTATTATTATTATCAGTATTATTATTATTATTATTATTATTATCGGTATTATTATTATTAGTATCATCATTGTTTTCATATTATTATTATTATTATCATTATTATTATTATTATTATTATTATTATTATTATTATTATCAGTATTATTATTATTATTATTATTAGGAGTATCATCATTGTTTTTGTATTATTATTATTATTATTATTATTATTATTATTATTATTATTATTATTATCATTATTATTGTTATTGTTATTATTATTATTATTATTATCATAATTATTATTATTATTATCATTATTATTATTAACATTATTGTTATTATTATTATTATCATTAGTATTATTATCATTATTATCATTATTTATCATTATCATTATTATTATTGATGTTATTGTTACTGTATCATTATGAAACAAATGACTAAATGGAAAGCTGTGATGTCACATGAACACAGCCTCTTGAAATTTTCCAAATATTTCAGATGAAATACAATTATTTGAGATGATGAAGCTCCCCCCTTCTCCTCTCCCCCCTCCTCCCCTTCCTCCCCCTGCTCCCTCTCTTCCCCCTCCTCCCCTCCCTCCCCCCCCCTCCCCCTCCTCCCCCTCCTCCCCCCTCCTCTCCCTGCTCCCTCCCTCTCCTCCCCCTCCTCCCCTCCTCCCCTCCCTCCCCTCCCTCCCCTCCCCTCCCCCTCCTCTCCCTGCTCCCTCTCCTCGCCCTGATCCCCCCCTCCCCCCCCTCCTCCCCCTGCTCTCCCTCAAACAGAGCATGTGACTCAGTAATGTCGTCGGACCTGAATGGGACCAGAGAGCGGACCCACCAGCTCTGCTGCATTCTCGCCCACACGTGATCACATCTGGGGTTTAGACAAAGGACAGAAGAGGACAGAGCAGCCAGAAAGTAATTAAAGCTGGGGTACCTGACTTTTCTGTTTCACACATAACACATATAGTTTGTCCCAGCACGCAGAGTATCAAATGAGATCTTTGGTTGTGGTTTGAAGGTTACGTCCCTCAGCTTTAAACATGATCCTGTGAATTTGGCATTAAATTGTGTAAATGTATTTTATTTTATTTTATTATTATTAATTATTATTATTGTTATTATCACTATTATTTTTGTGTTATCTTTTCTTTGCATTATAACTGTTGTCTTGTGATTTTTTTTTAATTATGACATTCTATTTTAATTCTAAAGGCAAAAACTAAAAAGAAAGTATAAAAAAAACAATTGGGGTTAATATTTCACGTTTTGGAAGTTTGGTCTCTTTATGGCCTCTCTGGTCTCACACTCTCTCTCTGTCTCTCTCTCTCTGTCTCTCTCTGATCTCACACTCTCTCTCTGTCTCTCTCTCTGGTCTCACACTCTCTCTCTGTCTCTCTCTCTCTGTCTCTCTCTGATCTCACACTCTCTCTCTGTCTCTCTCTCTGGTCTCACACTCTCTCTCTGTCTCTCTCTCTCTGTCTCTCTGGTCTCTCTCTCTCACTCTGGTCTCTCTGTCTCTCTATCTGGTCTCTCTCTCTCTTTCTCTCTCTCTCCTCTCTCTCTCTGTCTGTCTGTCTGTCTCTCTCTCTCTCTGGTCTCTGTCTCTCTTTCTCTCTCCCTCACTCTCTCTCTCTCTCTCTCTCTGGTCTGTCTCTATCTCTCTGGTCTCTCTCTATCTCTCTGGTTTCTCTCTCACTCTCTGTCTCTCTCTCTCTCTCCGTCTCTCTCTTTCTCTCTCTCTCTCTCTCTCTCTCTCTCTGTCTTTGTCTCTCTCTCTCTCTTTCTATCTCTCTGGTCTCTCTCTATCTCTCTGGTCACTCTCTGTCTCTCTCTGGTTTCTCTCTCTGTCTCTCTCTGGTTTCTCTCTCACTCTCTGTCTCTCTCTGTCTCTGTCTCTCTCTCTTTCTGTCTCTGTCTCTCTGTCTCTCTCTCTCTCTCTCTCTCTCTCTCTCTCTCTTTCTATCTCTCTGGTCTCTCTCTATCTCTGGTCTCTCTCTATCTCTCTGGTCTCTCTCTATCTCTCTGGTGTATTTCTCTCTCTCTCTCTCTCTCTCTCTCTCTCTCTCTCTCTCTATCTGGTGTATTTCTCTCTCTCTCTCTCTCTCTCTCTCTCTCTCTATCTCTCTGGTGTATTTCTCTCTCTCTCTCTCTCTCTCTCTCTCTCTCTCTGGTGGCAGTGCAGATACCATGTGGTTAGCTTTTTGTGTGTTTGGTTGTGAGGTTTTAGCCGTATCAGTTGTCGGCACCTGGTTATGGTTCCCTTTCTGTTAGATGTTTCAGACGAGGCCTTTTAGATTCTTGTTGTAGACAAACAAGTTGTCTCTCTCCTGGTCTCTCTCTCAGTTACACTGCAAAACATCATCAAACATGAGCTAATTTATTGAATTTCTGGGTTTTTTTTTTCATTTTGAGCACACTCTGACTGTAAAACCAGATTTGCATTTAGTCGTAATTGAAGAACTGCGACATTCTAATTTCAAGGGAGACATTTATTGTATATTTCTAAACAAGATAATTTTTCTTTGTCCCATTGGCTAAAATTAAGATAAATGTTTCCAAATTTGAGCAATGTTTGACTTATTTTTCCATCACGTTTTGCAGTTTTAGAATTTGTTTTTTCGGCACAATTTGTCCACTTCTTCCTCCCACCATTTACTTATCCCTTGCACTTTTTCCAGATATACAATAAAAATGGCCAAACCTTTTTCAGTGACACTGTATTTGAACGACTGATCGTTGTGATCTGTTTTCTTACCGTTCTTTCAAAATGGATCGATGCCCAGATGTTGCATTAAACCACTAAAAATGCAAAGTTTAACACCAGGACTGATAAAAAAAAACTCTGTGTCAAACTGGTATTAATGTGAACCATACAGAGAGATTCAAAACCTGCACAACATGTCTTCAAATACATCAATATAACAAAATATAAGATAAGATAATTTGTATTTTCATAATGGTATTATGACCAAAACATTACTATTTATTATTTGGTCAAATATGAATATGGATTTTTCTAGTTTATTTGTTTATATGAGTGGACCAAAGGCTCAGTATTGTAAACGGCTGCATAAAAAAAAAAAAAGAGTTTGAATTTTTACGTATTGCTTTTTGTGTTCATTGTTTCTGATCATATAAATGCTATGGTTGTTTCTTGATTTTTTTTAAAAGTGCTTTATAATGAGGTATAACAGATAAGCCCAGACTCTCAGAGGTGGCTGCACTGACATTAAGCTTTGATATTCACTAGGGGGCCATAGAATACATTTTGTAGGCCGTAAATAGCCCGTGGCTCACATGTTTGAGACTCATTCATTCATTCATTCATTCATTTTCTAACCATTTATTAGTCCATTTCTGGGTCAGGGGGGTGACAATTAGAGCTGCACCCAATGCTCATAGCACCAGGCCCTCACTGATCCTCTGCAGGGGGTGGGTCCATAGGAAGATGGCTGCTACGTCAGTGGTGCCACAGCCTTGGTCTTTCGGGGAGTGTTAGGGGGGGCTTCAGGCAAAGTGGGGTTAAGTGTCTTACCCAAGGACACAACGACAGCAGACATTAGCGGGAGCAGTTTTTTGAGACTCCTGTAAAAAAAAGTTCTATTATTCTAAATCCTTCCCGGTGCAGGACGGTCTAAGGACAGTGATGATCCAGGACATTTTAAACATTTCTCAAGCCAATGGCTTTTTTGTCTTTCTGAACTGTTTGATTCTCTGACCTGTTTTTGGTGAATCAGCAACTAAGTCTTCAGAGATTGATTTTGTGATTTTGGCCGATACACAGATACATAGAATTGAATGTTGTTATGATAGGCAGGTGGATTCAGACCAGCCTCCCGTGAGCCTGAGTCAGCTCAACCTCATCATTAACAAAAGTCATTAGAGATTTTGAAAAGCCGGTTCTGTGGTTTGGGGCGTCAGCTGTGTTTACCTGAAGAGACAGGAAGAGGAACTGCCAAATAAGGCAAGTGCCCGCCACACAGCTGCACTGTAAAATACACCAATGATTCTGTAAAAAGACTCAGAAGTTTTAATGATTTGCTGTGGACCCGACAGACAGATTCAACTACAGAGCTCCAGTCTCCCCCGTCTCATTCCCCAGGATCAAACTCATGTCGGTTACAACTTTAACTCCATCGTTGTTTTTGTGGAAAGTGTGTTTTGTGTTTTTTGCATCAGATGGACACCGAGACATTTTCATTCCAAATTACATCTCGCTATGACACGGTTGATATTTTGCTTTTTCATGGATGTTTGTGCTCAAAATTGTGCATGCCTTTTTTTTCAGTGTGCTTCTCATGCTCCGTGTGTTTATCTATGACATCACAAACGGCACGAAGATTGGCTCCAACTCGCTCTGGCTCCTATTGACTTACATGTCAAAGTAAACTCCTCCAAATCAGTCCCTGTGGGTGTCACACATTTCATTTCAGGCTTAAAAAACTGTGGTTTAGCGCTCTCTGTGATCCTGGTGTTAATATTTTGATGTTCAATTCAATGTGTTCTGTACTGTAAGATATCACAACAGCAGTTGTTTTGAAAAAAACAATACAAAGTTGTCGATTCCTCAACGACAGATTTGAGAATTAAAAAACGTTTGAATAACAGGGAATCCAATACTAGCACACACATAGAGCCACTGGTCTATAGGGAGCGGGATCACCACCGTCCAGAAATGTGGCTAAATGTCCATAAAAAGATCATCACTGTCCTTAGACCCTCCTGCATCTGCAAGGAACCACGAGGAACCCAAAGTTAAAAACCTCGGGGAGGCCCTTATTGATGAGGGGCTTGCAGATCCTTCACTGAGGCTCTGGATCCAGGAATAACGTTGTCTTTGTAAATCCAGCCATATAAGGACTGACCAATCAGATGGCTTCATTTGTGGGGGAAACTCCAGTTTGCCTTAGAAACCATCTTAGCAACACAGCTTGTGTTTAAACCGGACACTGTGGTGATGTCACACTCGCTCAGTCCACTCCTGATCCACACTCTGTTATTTTACAGTGTAGCTCTGTACAGAACACAAAGCAGCAGTCATTAACCGCAGGTGACAGGAGACGTGCTCCTCTGACTCATGAGACCAGAAATATGTTTGAAATGAAGTCTGAGCAACTGATACTCGGATTCTTGAAGTCCTTCTCTTCCACAAACATGTTATCCATTCGGCACAGTGCCTGGGTAGATAACACTCTTCTCAGCAAGAAGGTTCTGTGTTCGAATCCCGGTCGGAACAGGGTCTTTCTGAGTGGAGTTTGCATCTTTTCCCAGTGTCTGGAGTGTAGGATTCTTCTGGGTGCTCCAATATCAGTTATTAGAACAACCACAATGACAATATGCTGTGGATATGAAATACACTTTACATCACACAGGAGACAGGAGCTTTCAGACAGAAGGGGCGGAGCTAAATGTGTATGTTAGAAGTTCCTGAAATCAGTGTGGATGGAGCTAAACACAACTCCAGGTCTGTGACGGATGAGATCTCTGGTGTATTTCTCTCTCTCTCTCTGGTCTCTCTTTGGTCTCTCTTTGGTCTATCTCCAGTCTCTCCTGGTCTCTCTCTCTGTTCTCTCTCTGGTCTCACTCCTGGTCTCTCATCGTCTCTGGTCTCTCTCTGGTCTTTCCATGGTATATCTGGTCCCTCTGATCTCTCTCTGGTCATACTATTACAGGACTGAAATTTTGGAGCAACTTTAAAGAATAAAATCAGGGTTAGAAGCCTACAAATGTGCTATACAAATAAACTTGCCTTGTCATGATTCCCTGTCATTTTTTTTTATCTTAAAAAA